AATATTATGTACGTATCATCGAACATGTATCAAAAAGCCTGTATTTATATGTGTAATTCGTATGTACAATAATACTATTGCATGTTTGATATTATAGATGACTTTTCACTATGCAATACTTGGGAAGTAACTTGTATTAATACAAGCAACTGGTATACGACACAGCACAAGAAATATCAGTACTTAAGTTATTTCCTTAGAATCAACATACACAATTTATCGTACGCTAAGCGAATATAATAGTAAATATACTTATATATACGCATCTTCGTTCGCACTAACGTACCTAACGTTTATACAAAGGTGAATAATCATGTCCGTATCATCAAATTTATCAAATAGATGTACTTTACGAGAGCTGAATGTGCATATTAAGATAGGTTTTTCACTACACAATACTTGGCAAGTAACTGGAATACTAAAAAGCGCAAGAAATATAAACACTTCAGTTATTACCTCATAGAGTCAACATACACAACTTGTCGTACGCTAAACGAATGTAATAGTAAATATTTTTATATATACACATCTTCGTTCGCACTAACGTACCTGACGTTTATACACAAGTGAATAATCATGCACGTATCATCGAACATTTATCAAATATATGCACTTTAACTGAGCTGAATGTGCATATTAAGATAGGTTTTTCACTACACAATATTTGGCAAGTAAGTTATATTAATACAAGCAACTAGAATCATAAAGATTATTTCTTTAGCATAGTTTTATATTGATTTTAACTGCCTGCTTAATTCACTTTCGTTATTGTTTGCAACTTGATTATTGAGTTATAATACTGTTATGAATTTATGCATGTTCTTATGAAACTTTAGACGCTGGGATTAATAATAATCAGTTGTAGACTTACCATGATTCTTTTCCGAGAGAAGGCTTCTGGTGGCCGGTAGGAAAATTTCCATAAGCTCCGGCACTCTCTTAATAATCCTATACGCACACAGAGCAGCTTTCTTGCGGATATAAGCGTTCGGGGATTTCATCAGCCTCTCCACTTCTCCGGCCAAATCTCGGGCCATCTCCGGCGAGGCGATCGCCCCCAAAGTGCACAAAGCCAAGCCAATCACGAATTGCGTCGAGGAATTCAAATCACTAAAACACAATAACGCATATAACACAATTGCTAAAAAAAACTAGAGCCAAAACTCACTTTTTCAGGCAGTTTGTGATCAGCAGATGCACGTCCTGCCTCTCGTCCAGCAGCAGCATAGCCCCCAAATACCCAATCCTCTTATCCGTAAACCTCTGACTTGCAATCAGCTTCAAGCATTCGAGCTGCCCGAAATGCGCAGGATAACCCAGCATGTGGATATACAGCAGCTTTGCAATATTCCTGCATCTGCAATCCATAAAAACAAATGATTATAAGGAATCCAATTGGTTAAAACGTTGTAAACCTCCACACTATGTCCTCTTCTCTGAAGGTGGACCTGATGTAAGCGCACTCCTTATTCACAACACTCCTCTCCTCAGCTGCTGTCCTAGCTGCCCTGATCTGTCTGATTAGGTCACGAAGCCGCATTGGTGTGGGCATTCGCACTAAAACCAATTGTAAATGAAACAATCATAATTTAATAATTAATAATAATAAATTACCTCTTTCCACAGCCTCATTGATGACCTGCTTGATGGTGGCCATATTAAAAGAGGGATTGAATCTGCAGATTTTGAAAGAAAAATTAATAATTAAGATTTTGTGATTGTGTTAGAAGGATATAGTTACCCATGTTCTGAAGCGTTCATAGCTGGGAGAAAGGGAGGATATAGTCAGCGAGCGCACACAACAAAGTCAATTTTTTAACAAGCCACAATAATCACTTTAAACAGAAAGAAAGAAACAGGTAGAGAATGGTTTGAAATTAAAAATTTGAAACAAAAATAAATTGGGTGGGTGTTGGAAATTATAAAACAAAAGATAAATAATAATTGTTGTTGTGGTTGATCAAATTGGAATCGTATCTGATTTGGTCTTTGATGTTTTCTTTTTATTTTTTTTGGCTCCCGTCACTTGCACTACATTACAGGTGTACCTCTGTGTCTGTGGTCTGTATGTGTCGGCTGTGAGCCAGGTGTGCAGTACGATTGTTGCAGTTTATTGGAATCTCTCATAAAACACATTTACACCTGTCCTGCTGATGAACCTAGCCTAAGTTGACATCTGTGTACAAAATCAATGGTGCCCCCACACACTCACACAAAATAGGAAAATACCTGCGTTTATTTTCTCTTTCTTTCTGTCTCTCTATGTTTTTTGTGTGTAGAGAACAGCCGCACACAGTCTCTCTCGCACCGCCGGCCGAAAAACAAGAAAAATCTCTCTCTCGTCTCGTCTACGGACAAAATTAAAAAACACCGGGCTACAAAAAACTTCGTTTCAACTTATAAATTAGGGCCAAAAACTCTATGCGCTTTTTTTTCAGACCATCCCAATAAATTATTTGACATACACAACCGATCTGCTGCGGCTCTGCGCTGCGTTGCCACATCCGCACCTATTACCTGCATCATTCATGAAACGCGACCTGTCTCTTCTTTCCAATTGGAAAAGTGATATTTTCTTACAAGGACAAATTACAAATTTGATCTCTTTTTAACATCAGCACTATTCTTTTAATTATACCAAAGCAAAGCAACATTTACATTTAATAATAATACAAAATAATATATATTTGTTTTATATTATATCATGAAGAATTTTCATGAATGTCAATCATTAAAAAAATGTTTCTTCTAATTATTTCTTTATGAAACGTTTTCATTATTGTTACATTCAACATACAAATCAATTTAGAAATGTTTACTTTACTTATTACTTTAATTGTATCCAATTGGAACATTTATTTTCATTAAATTGTTGTATCTTTTAATTATAAAAAATTCTGAAAATTTTCAAAATCATTCCATAACTAAATAGAATTTCAGAAGTTTACACCTGTTTCATTGATAAAAACACTGTTTTCTTCCAATTAGAAAATAATAATTGCAGAAAGACAATTTTTTTATATATTAAAAAATTTCAAAAACCCATGTTTAATTCATATAAAATAATTTGAAATAATAAATAAATAGAAATAGAATACAAAAATTGTTCGTTAGAAATGTGTACTTGTTCCGTTCATAAAACACGATTGGACGAATACAAAATCCATAAATTTAGACCAATTCTCTTAGTTTTAATGAAATAATGTAACATAAAACACGAGAAAATTCAAAATAATAAAGAATTTACATATTTTTTATACATTATTAAAAATCCTGAAAGTTTTCTAAATCATTCCATAACTAAATCAAATTTCAGAAGTTTGCACCTGTTCATTGATTAAAACACTGTTTTTCTTAGAATTAGAAAATAATAATTGCACAAAGACAATTTTTTTATATTTTAAAAGATTTCATAAACCCATATGTTTCATTTATATAAAGTAATTTGTACAACAACAAATACATAAATTTAAAGCTTTTAACGCGACTAATTCACTTAATTTGTAACACAAAAACGTTCATGAAACGTTTCCAAATTAATCTTTAATGTTACATTTATCACACAAATCAATTTAGAAATGTTTACTTTACTTATTAATTTAGTTATATCTAATTGGAACTTTCATTTACATTAAATTGTTGCTTTTTTTAGTTATAACATTATAAAAAATCCTGAAAATTTTCAATATCATTAAATAACTAAATAAAATTTCAGAAGTTTACACCTATTTCATTGATAAAAACACTATTTTCTTCCAATTAGAAAATAATTGCAAAAAGACAAATTTTTATATATTGAAGGATTTCAAAAACCCCATCCTTCATGTAAAATAATTTGTACAACAACAAATACAAAATACATAAATTTTAAGCATTTAACGTGACTAATTCACTTAATTTGTTACACAAAAACGTTCATGAAACGTTTCCAAATGAATATTTAATGTTACATTTATCACACAAATCAATTTAGAAATGTTTACTTCACTTATTAATTTAATTATATTTAATTGGAACTTTCATTTTCATATAAATAAATCCTGAAAATTTTCAATATCATTCCATAACTAAATAAAATTTCAGAAGTTTACACCTGTTTCATTGATAAAACCACTGTTTTCTTCTAATTAGAAAATAATAATTTCAAAAAGTATTTTTTTATATATTGAAAGATTTCAAAAACCCATATGCTTCATTCATGTAAAATAATTTGTACAACAACAAATACAAAATACATAAATTTAAAGCATTCAACGCGACTAATTCACTTAATTTGTAACACAAAAACGTTCATAAAACGTTTCCAAATTAATCTTTAATGTTACATTTATCACACAAATCAATTTAGACAAGTTTACTTTACTTATTAATTTAGTTATATCGAATTGGAACTTTCATTTACATTAAATTGTTGCTTTTTTTAGTTGTAACATTATAAAAATCCTGAAAATTTTCAATATCATTAAATAACTAAATCAAATTTCAGAAGTTTACACTTATTTCATTGATAAAAACACTATTTTCTTCCAATTAGAAAATAATTGCATAAAAGACAAATTTTTATATGTTGAAAGATTTGAAAAACCTTCATATAATATAATTTGTACAACAACAAATACAAAATACATAAATTTAAAGCATGTTACTCATTCACTTAGTTTTAACTAAAAAATGCAACATTTGTATATAATTTACAACAGGAGTAACAATAAAGTTTCATGAAAGATTTTGATGCTTTATTTATAGTAAATTCAGAAATCAATCGATTCAATTCAATACAAAAATTGTACTGGTTCCATTTCATAAAACACGATTGGACGAAAACAAAATCCATAAATTTACACCAATTCTCTTAGTTTTAATGAAATAATGTAACATAAATCACGAAAAAAATGAAAATAATAAAGAATTTAAATAATTTTCTGTTTATGGATAATATAAATCTCTTTAATCAAAAAATCCAATTTAATTTAATTAAAATTTTGGAAATTTTAAATAAATAAAACAGAATTTAATTCTTTTCAATTGCAAAATTCCCTGAAACAATCATATTTTGTAAAAAAAATCAATAATTTAAATTTATTATATATAATATACAAATTCATTAAAAAAATGACAAAATTTAACAAGTAGTCCTTTTCTTATTGTCAAATGTATCATTTGTTTTCGGATAATAATATTGGAATGATAGGACGATCGATTGATTGCTCTTCTTGGCAACGTCGCTCCCGATTACGTGACGTCAGGTCTGCATACGTTTTATTAATTTTATAATAAAATGAATCGTGTAATGTTTGCAATTGAATGAAGCTATTGCCAATTAGTATTAAGTGAATATAAGTAGATAACACGGTGTAAAACGTATGCATCAACGGTGCAATTGGAAATCTAGGATCGTTGAACTGAACGCATGATTAGAGCTCCAGATTTGATTAAGCCTGGAATTAATTTTTGAATTGTCAATTCCAAGAAGAAGAAATTATAAATAAATTTGATCGAAGAATTTCTTATTTTTAGGGAAATACGCACATATATAAATATATTTGTGTATACAATTGTATGCAGAATCGTTGAACTTGTTTTGGGTTTTAATTTTAAGTTAAGAGAAAAACAGGGTTTCTAAAACTTTTGTTACATTTCGAATACGATGTAAACATCAATATGAAAACTAAAGGAGATTTTGATATAAATTTGATGCACCTTATTGTAATTGAAATATTGCATTGAGTTTAATGTTTATTTTATGTATTGAGAGAACATAAGATTTTTTTGTGATTTTTTTTAAATATAATTTGAAAGCAATTATAAACATATTTGCAATTAATGAATAATTAAGAGTACACTAATTGTTTAATAATAAAAATCAATGAAACAACAATATTATTGTAGAATAATCATTAGTAAAATGGAAAACTATGCAAAAATAAGGTGATATAAACATAAGTATTCGGATCACAGTTACGCTTTATTGAAATAGATTTTATCTTATGGAATTTACGTGGAATTTGCTCGCAAGAATTAGTTGGAAACATTGGTTTTCCATAGAAGAAAATTCAGATGAATGCATTTAAAAAAGTTATAGGAATATTGTTGAATGCGTATGAATTAATTTGATTCTCTTGAATTTCCAATTCGTGAAATATTGCACAAAGCATATGTACAATTTCTAGGAATAAAAAATCTATAAATTGTAAAAACCTTGATAAAAACAATGAATTATTACTTAATAAAGAGAAATAAGTACTGTTAAATTAATAAAGCTTATACAAGAATCCCCCGACTTACGAACTCCCGGACTTACGAACAAAATTCTAAAAGCTCTAACTTGTTACAAGAAGATTATAGTGATAAAAACAAATTAAGTGTCCAGACAAAAATTGATAATTTCTTTAATAAAATATAATAATTTTGGATCTGGATTTTGATCTGTTTTGATGCATTTGTTCTTTTTTTATTAAATAATTGTGATGTGATATTTTTTCACTAATTAAATATTAAAAAAACATTCTTAGAATAATGTAATTTCTTAATGATTATTTTTAGTTAAATATTAATTTTCTGTTATTTCACACCTTGAAGGTTTCTAAAACTGAAATTCAATTTAAAGAAGAAAAAAATGTTGGTATCTTAAGTAAAGCTATTCTTGGATCTAAGATGGTCATGGAATGGTGATGGAGTCAAACAATGACCCATTTTGACGTGTGTCAGTTCAATATATTTCATACCAGTTCTATACAAGCTGTTGGAATGTTCTTAATGCATTTCAAATCAATTTCAGTACAATGAATGTAAAAAAATATATACTAAATTGTATATTCAATGGTCGTAGTTGATTTAAAGGTAATTACTAAACGTCGACAAACGGAGTTAATTCTTGAATTAGAAACGAACAAAATTGAAACTAAAATTTCATATTTACATACATAATATTTAGTGTCTTTCTAAAATTACATAAAAAAAACAATATTCTAATTATCTTAATTTTAATGTAATAACCGAAGGAACATAACTGCAAATAACTTAAATGTCAGATTTTCACATTTGTTTTTCTTTCAAAACAAAATTATGAATCGTCGTCATGATTCTAATTTTAAGTATAGTTCGTCGCCCACTGAACCAGGCAATCATCAACAAATTCTCCATAGCAACAAAGAAAAAAATGCAATGGATAGACCAAATGTATATGTTGTCATGGTAATTTCATTGATAGTTTGTGATATAAACTTAACCATATTAGAAAATTTAATTTTAAAAAAAAGTTAGAAATCATTAAAATGTACATAACAAAAAATAAACGTTATAGTCATGAAATTTCAAATAATCAATTGTATATGTTGTCATGGAGATTTCATTCTTAGTATGTTTTAATGACTTAACCATATTAGAAAATTTAATTTAAAAAAAAAGTTAGGAACCATTAAAATGTATATAACAAAAAAAATAAACGTTATAGTCATGAAATTTCAAGCTCATTAGATGTAGTCATGAGATTTGTATTGATATGTATTTTTTATAATTAAATAAATAAAATTATATATAATCATAATCTAAATAAATTTATAAGGAAACAATTGCAATAACGTCTATAAAGTAATAATTAATGGAAGTTTAAAATTTGTTGTCATGGAGAAAGAAGGTAAAACATTTGAAAATAGTGAATATTGTAGCGTTGATTACTTTGGATATTATAGGCGTAATTTCGGTAAATAGGGTTTCTTTTATTATTAAAAACAAAATTATTAATATTTATAAATAAAAAGAACGATATGTAATCAATGTTTGTTTGACAAAAAGTTACAATTAAAAAAAATTGTTTCACTTATTTTGATGATAAAAGATTAGTCAGAGCAGGCGGATAAACAACTTTCTTGAACATATGTTTCGTTGATTATTTATGCACGATGCAAATGTATTAAAGACAAAACAAAACAAAGTGCATGTATGAATATGGAAATAAACCGAATTCTCAAAAACAAAAAATTGGACGATAGCAGTGGATTTTGTGATAAGAGGAAAAAGCGGCCATTTGGGAATGAAGCTTTGTGCGGTTGTTTACCTTCGATTCAATTCAGGTGGCAAAACGCTCCATTCGTTTTCGTAATACGGATACATGATGATTTCTTGAAACGCTGTGTAGATTCGAACGATCCTTACAATAATCCAAAAAAAAAACACACAGCTTATGCTCACATACCTAATACAGAGAAATTTATGGTAGGTATTACAAAACTGGATGAGGCATGGCTCTGGCTCTGATAAAGATTTATCACTGCGGCGATGGTTCCCACTGATAAGGCGCGAAACCGCGCAACAAAAGCAAACAGCGGTTCCCGTTGTTATCATTAACTTTTTCCCGACGCACAATTTACTTCATTTTTTTCAGGTTTAGTTATATTTTGAGGAATGAAAGATTTTTGCTTGTATCTTTAAAAATTACGTGTTTTGTTTTTCATTTATACATTAAGGATAGATGTTTGTTAAAAGTTGTTGCTGTAGCAATGGGAAATAGTAATAATAACAATAATAGTAAAGTAGGGGGGAACAGTTCGAATTAGTATTGAGATTAGTTGTAACTTATGTGGGTTACGTTCGTCAGTTCTCGTTGTTCCTCGGAGGTCGAATGTACACGTTGCGTTTTATGCAGTCGACGAGCCATCGGATGCCTTCGTCCACTCCTTCCCTGCAACAGGTTAAGAACAAAACATGTTTTCTTTATATGCACAAAACCCATTACGATCTACATAATATATCCATTATTCATGGTTGGTGTTCAATCATCCAACTCGTCCTTGCGTCAAGCGATAAAGAAACGCATTGCATTTACCATAAACGCAATATACTATTAGCAACGATACAAAACAGGACAGATTTAATTATTACGTTAATCACCATTTTACTTTTGCATTAACGACCATCATGAATTTATATGAACGTTAAATTATATGTTTGTATAACATAGCTCAAGATAATTACAACTAATCATTCAATATTATGTTTTAGTTAACTCAATTGATTTATACGTTTTTTTTTAGTAAACGTTCGCTTGAACGTACACTTTGGGGGTTTTACTTTGGCGTTGACAGGAGACAGGTAAAAGAAGCAAGACTCTACAACAGTGATTCTCAAAGTGGTGAATATCTATGACAACCTGCAAGGGGTATACGTCAGCGAAAAAAAATAATTGGGGTCCATGAAATGAAAATGGGGGTCCACGATAGTGGATCTCAACATACACTGATAGTACCTATTTACTTACATTATACTATCTTATAATATAAAGACATATACATTATTTATAAAAGTACTTATGAAGTAAAAAAAAATATATATGTTTATAAAATTGTGTAAGTTGTAGGATGTAGGCATTCGTTTTGTGGTCGCAATACATTTTGAACTTGTAAAATCCTGCACATAATGATATACCAGTATCATCTTGTTACAAGCATACGCGAAGTCTCAGAGCAAAGATCTTAATAATTATAAGATGTCTGAATATAAATAATAAATTTACAAAAAAATCAATATCAGGTAAGTAGAGGGTCTACCCAAAACCGAAAAACATGGCAAGGGGTCTACGACACAAAAAAGTTTGGGATCCTCTGCTGATGTTCAATCATCCAACTCGTCCTTGCGTCAAGCGATAAAGGAACGCATTGCATTTACCATAAACGCAATATACTATTAACATTAATACAAAACAAGACATATTTAATTATTACGTTAATCATCATTTTACTTTTGCATTAACGACCATCATGAATTTATATGAACGTTAAATTATATGTTTGTATAACATATCCCAAGATAATTACTATTAATCATTCAATATTATGTTTTAGTTAACTCAATTGATTTATACGTTTTTTTAGTAAACGTTCGCTCGAACGTACTTGATATTCGCTCGAACGTACACTTTGGGGGTTTTACTTTGGCGTTGACAGGACACAGGTAAAAGCAGCAAGACTCTACAACAGTGATTCCTTAAGTGGTGAATATCGACCCCCAGTGGTCTATGACAACCTGCAAGTGGTATACGTCAGCGAAAAAAAATGAGGATCTCAACATACACTGATATTACCTATTTACTTACATTATAATATAAAGACATATACATTATTTATAAAAGTACTTATGAAGTAAAAAAATTATTATATATGTTTATAAAATTGTGTAAGTTGTAGGATGTAGGCATTCGTTTTGTGGTCGCAATACATTTTGAACTTGTAAAAACCTGCACATAATGATATACCAGTATCATCTTGTTACAAGCATACGCGCAGTCTCAGAGCAAAAATCTTAATAATTATAAGATGTCCCAATATAAATAATAAATTTACAAAAAAATCAATATCAGGTAAGTAGAGGGTCTACCCAAAACCGAAACATGGCAATGGGTTTACGACACAAAAAAGTTTGGGAACCTCTGCTCTAGGAGGATACAATTTTACCAAAAAGATGGAAATTCCCACTTTTAAATAGACTACATATTTTAGTTAATTAATAGTCCGATTGTGATGTTATTTTCTTTAAACAAGTATTAGAAAAAATATTTGTATGTATAAGTTAAATTGATTTATTAATTTTGTGATAATAGAAAAAATCTTCTGACTTCCTATGATTTTTTTAAATTATTAATATAATTGTACGTTCGTACGAATATTTGTACGTTAATTCGGTCTAAAGACAATTAAGAATCATGTAAGTATTATCAAATATAAGTTAATTGGTTTAATTAATTTAATGATAATAGAAAAAATCTTCTCTAATTCCTATGATTTTTTTAAAATTATTAATATAATTGTACGTTCCTACGAATATTTGTAAGTTAATTCGGTCTAAAGTCAATTAATAATCATGTTAGTATCATCAAACATAAGTTAAATTCATTCATTAATTTTGCGATAATAGAAAAAATCTTCTCTACTTCCTATGATTTTTAAAAGAAGAAATAATTAATAGGTTTCACGTGTACTTTGAAGTGTAATACGAAGAAAGTAACAAATATATAGAAATAACCTATTTTATACTATAAATGTATCTAAACTAAATTTGTTGATAAAAACATCTTAATTAAATCTTTAACTATATTTGTTACAGTTCTATTGATGTTTTTATCTGCAAATTGTATAATTCATAACAGTTTGAATCAAATTATTAAATTTTTGTCAACAGTTTATATAAATTGCACATTCGAAGTATTACATTATGAGAGTAAGTAATAAACACGTGAGTCATCGATGATATTCTTTGAAATTGACGATAAACTTAAAAATCATATTGTTTCGTAAACCAATCTTTGTTCACTTTAAATTTTGAATCATAGAAATACTTTTGTGAATAATTGCGATAATATGAAAAAAATTTAGTAATACATTTTTATAATTAGATAGTTGAAATCTATCTAATATTTATAAAAAAAACTTAAAAATTGGCTTGTTTTCAAGCATGAATTCAATAATATTGTATTTATATCATTGATTATGTTAAGATTTAAAATTTGTGTAGAAATGTAGTTTAAATTTATGAAAACAATAGTTATAGATTGAAAATAAAATATATTACCCAGTAAGAGCAGAGACAGCCATGACCATGCAATCCCTTTTTCCAATGAGATGTGTATTCTTATTGAATATTGGTTTCACTTCCCTAACACCCATGCACTCAGGAATGTCTTGTTTATTTGCTAAAACCAACAGTGGAATTCCCTGCAAATTTTCATTACCTATCATTTTATCTGAAAACCAAATACAGCCGTTTTTTAACTGAACCAACCAATTAAGATCAGAAAACAATCACTCACCAAAAGTCTCTTTAGAATCATCAATCCTATCCCTATCATTGGAATCCACTATGTAAATGATACCATGAGACTCTGCATAATACTAATAACAAACATAACAATAAACAACTTGTTGATGTAACCATGGTTATATCATACTTTATCCCACAGTGATTGGAGCTCAGTCTGACCACCCAGATCCCAGAAGTTCAGTCTGATCCCGGACACATCGATTTTCCCAATGTTCAAGCCAACAGTTGTTGTTATCTTGCTCGGATGCATGCCCTTGTAGTTTTTGGTGAGCTTCGTTTTTGCAGCTTCGAGGTAAGTCTAATGGAATGATAGATTTTAGACAATATGTTTTTGATATCATTTTTTTCTTACCGTTTTTCCAGCATTGTCCAGACCGAGGATGAGCACGCAGTATTCATCCTTCTGCACCATGTACTTGTAGAATCCATGCACAAGGGTATACATTATCGATTTATTTCAGATTAAATTCCCATTATTACCAGAATCAAATCAAAATATAACCTCCAAACTGTTTGAAAAAAAAAATATCTAAACATAACAAACGTCACCTGACAGCTGATTGTCGCGACATCTAGTGCATTTGTTAAGTGGTCTTAAGAATGAAAGAAAAAAATTTGAAAGTTTTCAAACTACTATATTTTTTTAATTTATATAAATACATTTAGTATGAATTGGTTTATGGACATGGTTGCTGTTGATTATTGAAGATTTATGGTTGGATCATAGCTTGAGTGTTGATTTAAAGTTTTACTATTATGCAACGTAGAAATAAGAGTTTTTGTCATCGGGATTTCGAGCTATGAAATCTCTCTCGATGAGGATTTCGATTCGTTTTTTAATGTCGTTGGGGTTCATGGGGAACTTGAGGATCTGGAAGATCTGCGAGATCAGATCGTTGTGCCTCATATTCCTATTCTGCTTCATCAGACGCACCAGAGCTGCGTCAATCTGGAGATGGCGATCGTTGCAAACTTCCTCTTCGGTTATTTTCTTCTCCTTCTCAGTTTCCTTGTACTGCAGCTGGTTGATCCTTATACGAAACAGCTTATTGTTGTAGTCGTGATTCAAGGAGAAGACATCGTCGTCCTTGATCTCTCCGAGAGCCGGGTTTTTGATGAGGAGCCTCACCTTCCGTCGAATCAGGGATAGAAGAGTTCGCACCAACTCATCGTCGGTCAAGTCCAGATACAGTCTGATACTCTTGTAAGTTAGCTGATCAGTGTCGTTGAAGAGCAGCATGATGACTGCTTGGTAGAGCGATACTTGGAACTCCTTGCTGCCGTTTTGAAGCGACGCTTTGATCAAGCACGATCCAAGTCCTGGAACCCAAAGGAGACTTCTACCGGAATATTTGGCTTTGTAGAAGTCCTGGAAAGTCGTTAGGTAATCCATCATCTTGTCGGAGAGGTTGATGCGGTCTTTGGTGAACATGGGCCAAAAGCTGCTGGTCAGGACGTGCGCTGTGAACTCAATGGGTAGGTTGCAATTGGAAGGTCGTTGCTTGAAAGACGTGGTCAGATTCTCGCTTAAGTCTATATCCCTAAACATGCCTTCCAATCTGGATGTGAAACCTTCTCCACATTCAGATTTCAACTTGCCAATCATGTACTTCTCGGCGTCCTGGCTGGAGGATTTTCCTAAAAGCAGTCGTTTAGAAAGGTACCTCTTGTAGTAGGCCTCGAAAACGTCCTTTCCTTCGATGAATCTGAACAGAACCATGATCTTGTCTAGAAGATCTTCAGGAATTAGTTTATCCCTCATCTTAATGTCGATGAATTTGGCGAGGAGCTGAGCCGGCACGTACTTTCTTTGATTCAGAAAAGCTTTGAAGCAATCCTTTATAGATTCAGTGTACATCTTGTCGCTCTTGAAGCAATTGGTTACGACTTCATCGACGCGATCCTTCATGTTCAGAAGATACTCGATAAGGGTTTCCTCGCTGGCAGGGTTGAAGACTAGGTCGACTCCCACCTGCATCATGTGTTTGTTGAAGATTCTGCAAAGCTGCTCGTTGGCTTTGGGGATGGACAGCAGAAGGTCGTAAACAACTACCAAATCTTGGAAGTCGTTGGTTTCGAAGATCTTCGTCGCTTCGAGTTTATCGATTATAGAGTCTAGCTCGCACTCTATTAGTACATGGTAAACGCGCCTTATGAGATGCCCGGAGGTCTCAGCGTTCATGTAAGACGCAACCCGACTCTTCTCCTCAGCTATCTTCTCTTGCACGTAATAAAAGTACTTGATTATATCATCTTTAAGAAGGACGTCTCGTTTATTTTTGTAGAAGTGCAGCGATTTGAGCAGGAACTCGTCTTCGAAGTGCGAGGCGTAAAGTCCCAAGTGATCAAGCATAGACACCACGTCTTTAATCAGCTTCTGGTCGATGGGTGTGCCGTTCCTCTCCAACTCAATATTAACGTACAGTTGATCCAACTTATTCCTCACCGTCTCGTCCTTCAAGATAATATTCTTGAACATCTCCATACACATCTGCGTGACGCTCAGCTTCACGTTGTCCTGCCTATACGAGTACGTCTCCAGCTGCATGTACATGTTCTTCACGAGTCTGCTCTTGTGGCAGTACATCAACCAGAGGGCCTTCAACTTGTGCAAGAAATGATTATCAATGTGACAAACCAGATTCATCAGCTGCAGATTCAGGAACTCGGCGATCAGCACGATCAGATCGTCGTGGATGTCTTTGGTCCTACGCATTTTGCACAGATCCTCCACCAGCCGGTACAATTCCTCGCACGAGATGGACACGGTCCTGTCGTAGTACAGATTCGAAATGTTCGTCTTTAGCTTCGCAGCTTCACCATCCATGAAACTCTCCTCGTATTCTATCTCAAACGGAGACTGCATTTTCGTGCACACTGTTCCGTTCATCTTCAAATTGCGATTGTTTTGCTTTTTATTCAATTCAAAGACACCTGAGCGCTAGATTGTTTCACAATTGTTACCATGTTTATACGTGGTTGTTTTAATCCCCGTTTTTTTTTTCAGAGGTTGGCGACACTTTCAAAATTGTTTTGAAACTTTTGATACTTTGTAACACAAACAAAGTAACAATATCTAATTTAATAGATATATTACGTACGTTTCACTAAATAAACAAAGATCGTGTTGCAAATAATTTCAACAACTTTAATCGCGTTTGTTTACTTCCTCGTTTTTTTTCATTAATCACACACTCATACAAACCAGTACAACAGGATTATTAGTTTGATAAAGAGTTCGTTACTATAGAAAAGATTAAAATAATCTGCTTAAATCCAACACCCCTTTCTTCTTCTTCTTCTTCCGGTAATGAGTCTCCTTCTGGAAACCCCTTCACATTTAGCTGGGTCCTATTGACCCGTATGCCAGTCACATATCGGTGGGATCATTTACTATCTACAATAATTATCATTTACTATCTACAACAAAGTGGTGAGTGTCAGGTCGAAACCTCTCAACACCCCTTTTTTGTCATTTATATTTGATTACTTACTTTTTCTTTTCTTCAAGTTGGAACACTTTCAACAATTGTTTCAAAGATTTCATATGTAATACGTAAACCCCAAATAATTTTAATTCTAAAGTGATCAAATCGCCATTAGATAAGTAAATATTTTCCATATTATCAGTGCTAATTTGATGTAAAGTCCATTACTACTTCAAAA